GTTTGTGAGTACGTGCCGGCGCGGTCGTCGTCGACTCGTCGCTTCCGCCGGCGGGCGCGCGGCCTGCGCCGAGGATGCTTCGTTGGTTTTTCCGCGTCCTGGGTCTGTGTTTTGAATGGTTGTGGTTTGTGTCGCACCCGCACGGGTGCAAGCAAAGTGTATAGAACGCGTGTATGGTCCGGTCGGTCGTCTCTTCGTACGGTGGAGCATGCTGTGGCCAAGTGCCGTAGCCGTCGTGAAAGGTTCACGTACGGAGACGGAGAAGGATTGACCCGGTAAAGAAGTCACACGTCGTGGCCCGCTCAGCCATAACCATTTTGCCGTAGCCGGCGTTCCAATGTCGCGAGTTAAGAATTGGCTGCTCATCAGTTTACCATTCCAGGGTCTGTGCAACCCGTGTGCGGATCCACATATTCCATGCGAGCGCCCATCGTATTCCGTGGCCTGCTGAACTGTATCATCCTTTTTTTTCTCGTGAGGGAAAGGTGAATTGTATTGTCTATGTGTCCTGGCATTGCGAGATGGACGACCGGCCTTCATTGACCAGATAAACATTTCAGGATATGCGCTTCCTGTCACTTATTTATTAGTTCGAGTTAGCATTCGCTTCGGATAATGCAAGAACGTACTCCTAATACAATTGTTTTGGTATGTGCTGCAAGCAACAAGGCAGACGGCTCTCAATAATTGGAAATTGAAATGGTCAGCATAACACTCTTGTACCTCATCGCAACAACCAGGAAACAGCACAAGTTGCAGGGCGAATAAATTAGCAAGCAACAAACTCCTACTACCCTGCTCTGGATGCCATTGCAATTTACACACTACATTTTCCTGGCGCAGCTAACAGAAGTTAACAAACACAGAAACTACGAGTAGACAGATCAACGCACACAATTAAACACATAAATCTGAACAAGCACGGCAAAAAAACACTGCCAGCGCTTGACTTATTCTGCCGCGCCGCTAATCTGGTGGAAATACCCTCTAGCATGACAACAGGCTCATGGCTTCCGTCACGGTCTACTCGTGCAGAAAGCCTTTGTCCTCGAGATAAGTAATCACTTGTGCCGCCATGTCGGATGGTGAAGGGCACACGCCATCCACTTCCTTGATCTCAATCTGCAATCAAAGCAAAGGCTTCATGCTTCTAGGTGAAGGACAAAACTGGCAACTGCTTGTCAACGGCAGGAAAGAGCATCCGAAGACATCATGACAACTTCTTACAAGCGGCTTAGCTGTATTAAATATTATTATTGTTAAACATAACAACTACTAGGAATTATATGAATTTAAGTGTCTCCTGCGGGGTGTGTTAGGGCGTAGAGCAGCGTTGTACTTAGTTCTTCCTATGTTCTTTTTCGGTTGCGTTGTGCGTGATCCGGTTATATTTCAGGATCGGTGTTGTATGGGGTCACCTCACCACCGTGTACTTTATTCTGATGTTGCTTTATATATAAAGCGGGGCGAAAGCCTGTTTCGAGTGTCTCCTGCGGCTGTAAATTCACAGTAAAGATCAACCTATGCATTTAACCACTGTACTTGGTAATTAACCATATCAAACATGTACCCTCTAGTACTGTCCTCAAGTATCGAGCATATTGACAATTCTCTTCACCACTCTCTTTAGCATGTTAAGCATGCGCTCTTGATTATGTTTAAAAGATGATGAAGCGTGCTCTAGTTTCCCAATTCAATCATTTTAGGCTAGAATATCAGTGAGCCAACTACTAAATACATGACGGCAGAAGCAATCACATTAACACCTTAAATAATGCACACTTGACCATGCGAAAATGATAGCACTTAGCATGTACTCCCTCCGTCCGGAAATACTTGTCCAAGGAATGAATGTATCTAGATGTATTTTAGTTCTAGATACATCCATTTGTATCCATTTTTATGACAAGTATTTCCGGATGGAGGGAGTATGATATGATGATGTACCTCGCAATTTAATGGCGCTTCATATGGGTCATCAATACCAGTAAACCCTGCAGAAAGACAAAATTAGAGCTTGAAGGCTTGAAGGATGAGTGCACCACACAAGGTTTAGCAAGACGGGCCAAAAAATTATTGCAAGATTATTTGCGGAGAATGGTCAAACAGAGGCAACAAAGTGAAAATAAGTACCCACATGGGAACTTATTTCACTGCAAAAACTTACACAGAAGTATAGGAGGCAAAAGAGGGTTTCAGATTTATTATTTCCCTTACATTTTCCATTTCCAACTAGATAACCGCCTAACCCAACTTACAAATGCACACACACACACCAAAAAAGATGTTTAATAGTTGTCACAAAGACCAGTTCAACTGTTCTTGTCCTAAGCATTAGACAAAAAGAACTTGAATGTGATGGAGCTCCTAGAAACTCACAACACATATATCAATTAAAATACGAGAAAATCAGATAGTTTGAGGCAACTTTGATGTTCCGATGGCAATGGCTAGTTGTGCAGTTAGAGACAGAACCTTGCCTACAAACGGTGATTGCACGATGATCATACGCAACACCATTACACAATGGAAATATTAATCTACATAGTATGTGCACCAACACATCTAAGCATGGCTGCGAGCTTGCAATTACAAATCACAATCCTCACAGAATTGACGATTTCAAGACTTGTAGAATGACTGAGTGCGGTATTTTTCCTATCCTGTTTTGCTTTCCCAAAATATGCATAGTTTGGTTAGTGTAATTACAAGTTTGATTATAAAAAACAGGATTTTTTTAGCTAAACTGAAGAGTGAAGCACCAATCGATTATTGTCAGCTTGGACATCAAAGATTATATGATAATCTCACCCTTTATTTTTCCTGCACGAGCAAGCTTATAAAGGCCCTTCGGATCCCTTGCTTCACACAATTCCAAGGACATGTTCAAGAAAACCTGCAAAAAAGTTCACGAGAGTTTGTTCAGCAGTTATGACAAAAACCCAGTAGGAAGCTAATTTCAATAGAGATGAAGGTAAAATAAGAAGAATCCCTTACTTCAATAAAACTACCGTCTGACAACAGTGCACGACAAGACTCTCGGTCTCTCCTATACGGAGATATAAAACTAGCAATGCACACTAGACCTGCATCTGCAAATAGCTTTGCAACCTCACCTGCTCAAAAATAGTTGAAACAAAATGTAAGTGCAAATGGGTGAACAGTAAAAGATAATAACAAAAGCATGGTTTTTCTGTTGACAATTTTTTATCTTCACGAGAAGTTTGTTAGATCTACAAATACAGTTCTGTGTTCAGGAGATACTTGCCAACTCTGCGTATATTTTCAGCACGATCTTCAGCTGCGAAGCCAAGATCCTTGTTAAGACCATGTCTTAAGTTATCGCCATCAAGAACATACGCAAGCTTCCCTCTTGTATGGAGCTCTCGACCTAATGTGCATGCCAAGGTACTTTTACCTTGACAAGGTGAAGTATAGCAATATAAAATTAGATAAAGGAACTAACAAAGCATCAGTAAAATAAAAGAAGTTTACATCGAGAATAAATGCTACATTATTATAAATTTTTAGTTGGCGAGTTGTCTCTTCAAATAACAGAGTTCTGATTTACTGCAATGTTAGACATTGGTGAAAAACAAATGAAACACCAACAAGCATGATGAACATCAGCCACATAGATAGCATAATATATTAATATTCGCTTATTGTACTCTTGACAATTTTAAGAGTTGCCCTTTCACCACTTGGAAGTTATTTTGTGATCAATTTGATACTTGAATATTACCTCCGCCCCAAATTACTTGTCTTGATTTGTCTAGATACGGATGTATCTAACGCTAAAACGTGTCTAGATACATCCGTACCTAGACAAATCTAAGACAAGTAATTCGGGATGGAGGGAGTATGATGTAACCTATAAAGATGGAGTGAACAATAACTATATGAAATTTTTGACAGCTAAATTATGAAGAGTCCTAGAATTGACCCCTTTTGGCCTTAATTCATTGTGTCAAGCTGAAATGATTAATCTGAAGTAAAGATATACTCCCTCCGTCCCAAAATTCTTGTCTTAGATTTGTCTAGATACGGATGTATCTAGTTATGTCTTAGATTTACACTAGATACATCCGTATCTAGACAAATCTAAGACAAGAATTTTGGGACGGAGGTTGTACTAGTCTGTAGGCAAAAAGATGTACTCCCTCCGTTCCTAAATACTTGTCTTTCTAGGCATTTCAACAAGTGACTACATACGGAGCAAAATGAGTGAATCTGCACTCTAAAATATGTCTACATACATCCGTATGTAGTAGTCATTTGAAATGTCTAGAAAGACAAATATTTAGGAACGGAGGGAGTAGTTGAATGACCCGTACTTGAATAATTTAAAAAAATGGACCCGCATTACATGAAGCACAGTCACAATAAATCCAGGTAATCTTGAATTACCTGAACCACTAAGGCCTGTAATCCAAACAACACACCCTTTCTGCTTCAGTAGATTTTGCCGGTCAGTCTTGCCCACTGGGCAATCATGCCAGAAGATATTTGATGACTTGGGCACAGTTGACGACATCTCCAAAACTCTGTTCTCGCCTTCTACACGATTACAGTCATTAACACGACAATAAGTAAAGGCACAATAAAGATATAAATGGTCTTACAGACAAAAGAAGGCTAAACAGAAATACTCATTCAATGTCATCAAGTAGAAGCAATTCTCATTTAAAGAAAAAAAAAGTAGAAGCAATTCTTCCTTAAGCTCCATGAGAAGTCAGCTACCAGTCAGCGATGTAACAAGGGAAGAGGATTGTGCATTCTAAGCCCAGGTCAAGATTTCAATAGAAAACAATTCCACTAGGTGCTATATGCCGGCAGACCACCCCGATTCAAGGCCCGAACCCGAATTATAAGCATGGAAAATAAACATTTCCAGCGCGGTAACCGCCCCTAAAACAGCGACGCCCCCGCCGATCCAGAATTCCCGCGAAGACCCGGCCGAAATGGGACTAAGATTTCACGCGGCCAGGCTCCCCGATCACCAGGCAGCAACCGCATTGGAGCGGATCATCAATCAAATTGCCCAAGGAGCGGAAAGGAGAAAGAGAGGAACGGTACGTGCCTAGGCTGACCCCGACGTGCTCCGCGCTCGACCGGCCGCCCGCGCATTCGGCGCGGGAGTCCCGGGCTCGGACCGGCGGCGCCCCGCCTGCTATCCTCCCCGCGGAGGAGGGCGAGACGCGGAGGCGCGGGCGGAGCAACCCTAGATCCGCCGGGCTTCCGCCGCTTGAAGAGGAGGAGGAGGAGGAGGAGGAAGAAGAGGCGGCGCGCGGTTGGCGAGGGCACCAGCGGCTCGCGCGCTGCGGGCCTGCGGTGGAGGCGGTGAGGCAGCCAGTGGCGCGCGGGCGTGGCGCTGCTGCTGCCGCTGCCTCCATCGGCGAAGAGTGATGGTTACGCCGCGCCTTTTTGTTTTCTGGAAATGCTTTGGGCCAGGAATCGGATTACTTGCTATTTTGGGCGGCGAATTCTGAGGAACTGGTGCCGCTGCAAAGCGTGTTAGCAAGCGAACCTGGTGTGTGAGTGCGTCTTGGTGCATCATGCAACGGAGGAGAGCCATCGTGTTTGACCGGTCAACAAGGTTTCCGGCTCTGAAACACGGCATCGATTCCTCCTGCGGTTGCATGCGTTTCCCGCAAAAACAATTCGTGAGCGTACCATGCGGCGGCCGACCATAATTTACACTTTTCATGCGGAAAATTTGGCACCGGCCACCAGCTAGTATTGTGCCATGCATTCAGTGATCACCAGCATTCTGTTTTCAGTTTAGCTAAATGTCAATCGACTGATTTTTAAATAGGTCTGTCGATTTTTGAGAGATGGCCGGAGTGAGGCGGAGGTAAGGAAAGAGAATGAAGGGGATCGCCGGAGGGCTACCCCAATATCTATCTTAGGGTTTAGGGTGAGGGCAGTGATGGACGGCGGTGGTGAGGGGTAGTCCTGAAAAAGCCCGACCCGGCCTGGCCCGACGCTGCTCCCGGGCCGGGCTCGGGCCTAGATTTTAAGCTCGAAGGCTGAGTCGGGCTTGGGCCCGTTGTTTTTGCAATTTCCTGAAGAGGCCCGGCCCGAGGCCCATCGGGCTTTTATGTGTTCGGGTCGGGCTTGGGCCTAAAAACTAGGCTTGATGGCCAGTCGGGCCAGGCTCGGGCCTGGTTTTTTTACTCGAGCTTGGCTAGGCCCGGCCCAAGTTTTGGCCAGGTATAGTGGGGGGCGGTGGTGCACTTCGTCGGAGAAAAAACTTAAATGAGGGCGGGCCTTGTCGGTGTACAAAAAGAGGGGTACACTTTTTGTACCCCTATAACTGTGCACGGGCAGTCTGAGCCGCGGATACCACCACATCAAGCAAGGCAAGGGAGGTGAGCCAGGGTAAGACCGAAGCTCAAGAGAACTAGAACGACGCCAAGGCCAAGACCACGAAGAGCAAAGGGGACGAAGCGGACTCCCCCGGCAAGATCCTTGCCGGGAGACAGTTCTAGCAGCCCCGGCAAGACCCTTGCCGCGGCGACTCGTCCCGCGCCTACAGAGCAAATCACCCTTGAGTCCACTGCCCCCAAAGGGCAAGGATTCGGAAGACATCCCCGTGGCGGCATGCAGATCTTTGTGAAGACATTCAAGATCAGATACGCACTAAGGAGACGACAACCCTTGGCGGGATCCCAGCCAAGGAAGACCACAAGGCCCCCGGCAAGCGCCTTGCCGGGGATGACAGCAGGCGCCTCGGCAAGACCCTTGCCGGGGACGAGGACACCCGCAGGGCCACCATCAGGCCCACGCCGACTAAACCTCCACCACCGCATGCATGCAGCTGCCGATCCAACCAGCTGGGCAGGCACCCGCGTGGCGGCATGCAGATCTTCGTGAAGACCCACCACTGCGCCACCTCAGCTGCCTGCCTACCTACATGGCATCTCAGGCGTCGCTAGCCAGGGCGCGTGTCGACACAAGAAGGAGCGACAACGGACGAGACAGGTTTCTCCCCCGTCCCCGATAAAGCAAGGACACCTAAGCAAGACGCATTACATGCGCCTTGTCATGTAATGCGAGGGATAACCTCGCATCACTGTACCCTTTCCACCTCCTGTGTGCCACTGTGGCAACCCCTTTTTTCTATAAAAGGAGGCCCGAGGTGACCAGAGGAAGGATTCAGCTTTTTGGAGCTCCTCACGCCCCATGGCTAGCTCAAGAACACAGATATACAATCCACCAAAGCAGGAGTAGGGTTTTACGCATCCTCGCGGCCCGAACCTGGATAAACGAACCGTGTGCTATCTGTTTGATCCGCTCTTCTCACGACCCCGCGCCCCGCTAACCACGGTAGGGATTCTTGTGATCCCATAGGTATCGCTCCCACCGACATCTCTAGCGCGCCAGGTAGGGGAACGCAGTTGTGAGAATCGGCTTTGGCAGTTAGTTCGGCGCTTCTTCATCATCATGGCACCCAAGATGAAGACGACGGTGGCGGTTGGCCAGTCGGAAGCCGGACAGCCCGTCCCAACGCGGGCGAGCAGCGGACCGGTCGCAGAAAGGAGCCGGGGCGCTGCTCGCGAACACCAACACCATCCCAACAGCCGGAGTTTGGGAGGCGGCGATGTTTGTGCGCCTGGTAACGGGCCACACGTCACCAAATCCAAAGGCGGAGCCAAGCCCTTCGCGGGTGGAGCGGGGCCTTCCAGGGTCATCGCCGCCCCGCCCGAAGGCGACGCAAGGGCCTCCAAGACTCCCACTCCGGCGCCAACAGCGCGCTCCTCCCAGGCAGCGCGCGACGAACGGCGTAATCACGTCGAAGATCCCGGGCGTCGCCGCGGGAAGAGCCCCGAGCGCCACTCCCGGGACGTAGAAGACCTTCCCACTCGCCGAGGCGCTGGTGAAAACGGCATGCGACCGCGGGGTCGTGATAGAGCTCCTTCTGACATGGTCAGAAGTCGAAGCGCATCGCGATCCGTGCAAGTTTCGCTGCCACCGACGCCAGCAGAGGCCCTAGCGCGCGCAGTTGCTCCTCGACTTTCCTCCCACTACGGGGAAACTCGACGAATGGAGAGCTACTATCCGAAGCCTTGTTGCGGTGGCCAACAAAGACGAACCAAGTCCGGTGGGGCCCCCGGGTCGACGCTCCGATGGAGTCCCGCGGACCAGTGGCGGAAAAGCAGGCGACGCCGCGACCATGGTGCATTCACCTCTTCCCCATTCGGTAGCTCGTCGCGACGTCGTGGGCGACGACATCTCCATAGCATCGTCTGACCCGCGGACCCACTGTGACCAGCGCCAAGTTCTTCGGGAACGAACCCATGAAGACGCTCGAACCACTATCGAGCGCCGGCGCGGAGCGCGCCACCAGTCAGACAGGCGAGCAGGGCCTGCTATGAACCACCCGGCCCCGGAGAGCCCTGGAGGCCTACCTTACGAGGTAGGCTGTCCGGCTTTTACCCGTGAGTTGTGGCAGTTCCAGTGGCCCACTCATCGCCCCTTCAAACCTGACGTTGGCGAAAAGTACAACGGTAAGACTCACCCGTCTGAGTTCCTCAGCATCTACACCATCGCGATGCAAGCCGCCGGAGCCCGACGATAAGGTGCTTGCGAATTACTTTCCATTGGCTCTTAAACCCAACGCCATGTCGTGGTTGATGCACTTGCCGGTAGACTCTATTTCCTTCTGATCGGATTTGTGCCATGAGTTTGTGGGCGCCTTTACTAGAGGTCACCAAGCCCATGGCCAAGCAAGCGACTTGCATGTCATTCCCCAGAAGGGAGGCGAGAGTCTGCACAAGTATATACAGAGGTTCAGCCGGGTACAGTACAATATCCCTGATGTTCACCCTACCGCCATCATCAGCACGTTCCATCAGAACGTGCGTAACCGCAAGATGCGCGAAGAACTGGCAATGAACAAGGTGAAAGATGTGGCAGAACTCTATGTTCTTGCTGACAGATGTGCCCGACTGAAGAGGGAAGGAAGTACCCCAGCGAAGATGCCGACGTGGAAACCGACTCCTCAGATGAGGATACTGCCGCCCCGGCGAAGAAAGGCCGACGCCTAAAAGATCGTGGATGTCGCCTAGAGGGGGGGTGAATAGGCGTTTTAAAATAATTACGATTTAGGCTTGAACAAATGCGGAATAAACCTAGCAGTTAATTTGTCAAGCACAAAACCTAAAACAACTAGGCTCACCTATGTGCACCAACAACTTATGCTAAGAAAGATAAGCAACTATGTGATAGCAAGATATATAACAAGAAACAATATGGCTATCACAAAGTAAAGTGCATAAGTAAAGAGCTCGGGTAAGAGATAACCGAGGCACGCGGAGACGACTATGTATCCCGAAGTTCACACCCTTGCGGATGCTAATCTCCGTTTGGAGCGGTGTGGACGCACAATGCTCTCCAAGAAGCCACTAGGGCCACCGTAATCTCCTCACGCCCTCGCACAATGCAAGATGCCGTGATTCCACTAAGGGACCCTTGAGGGCGGTCACCGAACCCGTACAAATGGCAACCCTTGGGGGCGGTCACCAAACCCGTACACTTTGGGAACCCTTGGGGGCGGTCACCGGTACCCGTCAAATTGATCGGGGCGATCTCCACAACCTAATTGGAGACCCCGACGCTTGCCCGGAGCTTTACACCACAATGATTGAGCTCCGAACAACACCAACCGTCTAGGGCGCCAAGGCACCCAAGAGGAACAAGCTCTAGGGTGCCCAAACACCCAAGAGTAATAAGCTTCTCAAACTTCACTTCCACGTATCACCGTGGAGAACTCAAACCGATGCACCAAATGCAATGGCAAGAGCACACGGAGTGCCCAAGTCCTTCTCTCTCAAATCCCACCGGAGCAACTAATGCTAGGGAGAAAAATGAGAGGAAGAACAAGAAGGAGAACACCAACAACTCCAAGATCTAGATCCAAGGGGTTCCCCTCACATAGAGGAGAAAGTGATTGGTGGAAATGTGGATCTAGATCTCCTCTCTCTTTTCCCTCAAAAACTAGCAAGAATCCATGGAGGGATTGAGAGTTAGCAAGCTCAAAGAAGGTCAACAATGGGGGCAAAAACGAGCTCAAGAGATAGATATCCATTGGGGAAGAAGACCCCCTTAAATAGGTCCCCACGAATCTGCCCGTTATGTACAGAACAACATAGGAGCGGTACAACCTCTATGAGCACCAGTACAACCGGTAACAGGCAATAAGCGGTACAACCGGCCCACAACCGCCCAACAACCGCACCACAACAGAGGCCAGTCCGGTGGTAGAGCGGTACATGACCGGTACAATCTTCGGACCAATTCTGGAGCGGTACAACCGCTCCAAACACCGGTTGTACCGGTCAAGCGGTACAACCTCTCCATGCGGCGGTACAACCTCTTTGTATAAAACAGG